TCTTCTTTTTCTTATTCTACAGAATACGTTAAGCGGTAGATCCTGAGAGCTATTGAGAGCATGTAGAATTCTCAATGTGTTTTAATTTCTTACATTAAGTTATAACCTGGCTGGGGGAAAACTAATTTTTCTTACTCGATTTGTATAGCTATAACTCATTTTTCAAAGCAATTAAACAAGGAATGGGAGATTCGTTGTTTTGTTTTGGCTCTGGAAATTGATACAGGAGATTCGAATTAAAATTCAGAATTCCTGCGGGATCATAGCAGAATGCAGTCAGGCCTACGTATTCTGTAACAATATAATGTAGGGATAGGCCATGCCATAACGGAGGTGCTTAGTATCCGACTTCCCACAGCGGCGGCCCGGGTTCGAGCCCGGGTCATGTCATGTGGGATTTGTGGTGGACAAAGTGACACCGTGGCAGGTTTTCTCCTAATACTTCGGTCTTCCCTGCCAATTCGTATTCCACCAACTGCTCCACAATCACCCTCACCTATCACCTGGGGCTGGTACAATAGGCCAGAAGTGGCCACAGTACAAGCGACTTAGTCCCACCCCACTAGCAATAAAAAATAGAGTCTAAACTGGCGGGTGGACGACCGAAGAGTCGGCGTTCGATTCCCGGCAGAATCAAGACAGTTCGATCTTATCCAGGGATGAAGCAACGATTACGTCAAACTGGCCACTTATTTCCATCCAGCGCTGCGTTTTAGAATGATGGAGCTATACAATCACTCCTCCATGTCTTCATGACGTACTGCATAATTAATTAAGCACAGAAATAACTTTGTCTTTTACTTCATTGAGTGCAAGACGGCATGCTTTATGACTTATGGGGTATCAAATATGGTAAGCGTTTTCCCTGAAACTTTTAGCCAGCTTTTGAAACGGATCCCAGTGAACAGTAAACTAAACTATTCAAGGTTTTTAACCAGAAGTGACATTAAATATTACAACAATGATTTCATTTTATTACATTTTACAACCTGAACAGGTAATCTGGAATTACTAGCTACTTTTCTTTCATGTAAATATTGTTACAGCCAGTTAGAGTGATTGACTGCGTGTAAAGAAAGCGAACAAAACATTAAAAGCGTCCCTGCGGGGTGCATTTCCGATTTCTTGCAACATGGCAGCCTGCTGGCCTGCTCCTCCAAACTAAACGTCATGCTGCACACACGTGTCGCAACGTAGCCGCCAGCACCAATATCAGAGTACCCGTTTATCACATTCATAATCATCACGATATACGTCACAGGTCCCTACGAGGAAATATCTGATGGAGATGCCGCCACAGCGAAATTTGAAACGATTATTTAAAATTTATTCTGTTGCATTTAACACCTTCTTGAAGATGCCGTCTTCCGGAATGTGGTGTCTTGCAGATTTAGTGTGAACCGACGTTTCGGAGTAATATATTGCCTCCATCTTCAGGGTAGAAAGATCTGCGAACGAGGAACCAACGTGATCAGGTGGCTCTAGTCTGCACTTGCTCACGCTGGTTCCTCGTTCGCCGATCTTTCTACCCTGAAGATGGAGGTAATATATTACTCCGAAACGTCGGTTCACACAAAATTTGCAAGGCGCCACATCCAAGAAGACGGCATTCTTCATAGTCACCGCCGTGGAAACCTCAAATCTTACATAACCCCTTCATCCTCGATTATCTGTGTTTGTATGTGTGTTTAAATAAATGCAGTTTCTTTGTCCCTTCTCAGCTCTTAAGAATCTTGGCTTTTTACGCTGGTGCTTTAGACCTGACGGTACATCCGAAACTGTCGAAGTGAGGTCCGGGTCTATAAAGCATCTTCATACTTTCAACAATGAATTTCATTTGTGGTTCATAAAGAAATAGGACAGATGCATTTGGCTCGGGACGAGGAAAAGCTATATATATATATATAAGGAACAGGGAATATCTGAGCAACCACTACCTTCTTAGGGATGTATCACCGTGGAATTTGTTACCGTTGACTGTAAGATTATATGACAAAAATAACAGATGGAAAATGGCATTACGCCTTGAATATATTGCGTTGTCATTAATGGGTTTTGATTTCATTAGGCTTCGAATGAATTACATTAACATTAACATGTTATAATATCACACTTGAATAAATTATGTTATCTTTTCTTGTGTCTAAACTGAAAATATCGGACAGCATTTTCGCACATTCGGGAATATAGCGAATATTTCTTTAGACTTCTGTTCAAGCCAGTTGGGTCTCAAAATAACTAAAGATAAATATGAAGCTACGAAGGGCGTTTACAAACGCAGAGACAGCAATCCACGCACATGGAGGCCACTTAACGAAAATCTAGGCAGGAATATTGAGTTCCATATTTTTGATTTAGTGATCTCGTTGTTTTTAATATTTTTATAAGTGTAACGCTTTTTACCACCTCTGTGGGCTATTGGTCAGAGTTCCTAGCTACAGATCCCGAGATCCGGGTTCGATTCCCGGCGCTACCAGATTTTCTGAGAAGTAGTGGTTCTGGAACGGGGTCCACTCAGCCTCGTGAGGATAATTGAGGAACTATTTCAAGGAAATAGCGGCTCCGGTCTAGAAAACCGAAAGTAACGGCCGTGGGGATCCGTTATGCTGACCACGCGACACCCTCTATCGCTAAAGTTGTCACTAACTTCGCCGACAAGCGGCAGTCGCTCGGTCGGTCGGTATAATTCGCTTGCGGACTAAACCCACGAAGATTGTTTGTTTGTAACACTTTTTACCATGTGGTTAATCCAGTTACCGTTTAAGTACGGTTAAATGCTAGCATAAACTACTCTCTGCAAATATATGTGCAGCTAAATTTTCACTTCCGGAACTGAAATAACTCTACATGTGATTGACAATAATTAGAATGTGTGACATTTCACGTTCTTGCGGCAGTCTTCTGGAATGTGACACCATATAATTTGATATAACTGTCCCTGTCTTCAGCTCGTTTCTGTTCTTATACTCAGGAAATGTAAGTAACGGAGTCCTCCAAGACTTTGGTAGAAACTTACCAGAATATAGGGCATAATATCTCATAAAATAATTTTTTAAAATTAATTGAATAATTTCACGTCTGCGTTACGTTACTTAATCCACCGAAACCAATTGTTATCTTGACGGGAATGCGACCCACTTCATTCATTCATTCATTGTTGGAGGAGGTGGGTTTCCCCATGCACTTAGACCAGTTATTGGTCCATTGTGCATCCCCCTTTAATTTCTACTGTCTCCATACCCTACCGGTAGTGGTGCCCGTTATCAGTCCCTTTCTGCCAGAGAGGTCGGCCCTCATCTGGCAGTGGTACCTAATACTTTCCCCATCTACCGGAGGCATTGGAAACTACTTGGGCGGGAAAATTTGCCTAATTTAGCTCAGAGGTCTCCTAGAGATATGAGGTTCGTTTACTTGCCATAAATCTACGACACGGGACCCACGGCTGAAAGTCCCTCCCGGAAAACTTGTTCCCTGAATTTTTTCCGCCCTTAAAAATTCCACGACCTCCGCCGGGTTTGAACCCGCGTACCTTGAGTCATGAGGTGGGAACGTTACCCCTAGACTACGGAATGCGACCCACTTACTGTTAACTATAAGAAACCATAATATTGCATCGTGTTTAGGTTTCAAAATGTCTTTCTGTTAAGCTTGACCTCTGATTTCTCGAAGCCTTCCATAGATGTAATGTTCGAAGAAAGAAGAGTTTTGCCGTAGCATATGAGAATGTGTCGGAAGCAAATTCACGTGGGACTATTTTCTCAGTCTAGAAAGGCGTCAGCAAAAGTCAAAAAGGGAAGACAAATTTCATTAGTTGCGACACGACTGCCCCTTGCTTCCTCCTTATATTGCTGTGTTCTCTGGGGAGCAGTTCCTTTAGGGCCGTTTCCTATGAGGTCCGCAACCTCGCAGTAAGCAGAGGATAGAATGAAGACGCTTGGCGTGTTATGGTTATATGCAGACGTGACTTGACCATTGCATTCTACACGGAGACAGTGGCTACAGCGACAATAGTGTAGCCGTGAGTTGCCGTGGTGCAGACACACCCGTAGTCTTCGGGGAGCCAGTCACGTGGCTAGACTAAATTAAAGCCAACTTGCATAACAACAGATGGAATATTTACATGTGAACAGGACTTCATGGTAGAGTAGGTGGCATACTTTTCTCATTTTCGGGGCGAATAAACTTCAAGTCTCGGCACGAAGACGGACATCATAGGGTTTACGTGATTTTTCTCAGTTTTCCTTCACATTGTTTCTGTTTCATAATTCACTTATCATATACAGTATCAGGAATTATCCTGGGGGTAAAACGCGGCTGGTGCGTAAGGCTGACAACATTATCGCCATCTGTGAGCCGATTGTCTAGTGAAAATGTGGGAGCCCTGACTCTCTCAACCCTACGGGTCTTCACAGCCTGTTACAGGGATAACTTCACCTTAATTCGCTAATTCGCTTAGTGGGGGGTGGAGCCCAACTGGGTCCACTCGGCACGGCGGCCACTGATCAGCCTATTGTAGCCTGTTTCGGGTGATTATTATGATGGAGAGTTTGGTGGAATGAAGATTGGCAGAGGAAACCGAAGTACTCGAGAAAATCCGCCCCAGCACCACTTTGTCCACCACAAATCTCACTTGACCAGACCCGGGATAGAACCCGGACCACCGTGGTGGGAAGCCAGCGACTAACCACTTGAACTATGGCGCAACTTCACCTGTACCTGTTCTCTACGAAACTTGAATACGCAATATTACGTAGAAAAACCCTGCATATATTCATATTGCGTTGGAAATAGAATGTAATAAGCTTTTAATTGTGACGCAACGGACATCACTAACGATGACGCAACCTCTTTCCCAGAAAAGACGATGTTTGCCTATGCCACTGATTGCCCTCCTACATTTTTACTTTTACGACAAAATAAACTTTCCAGCTTTCAAAAACTGAACTGCCTCAAGTTGAGCAAAGCAATTAAAGTAACTGAAAACAACAGCACTTACTTACCTCTTCCGCCTCCCGCACCCCCGCCACCTTCGTCACTCCCCGCTGTTGCTTGTGTGTTCGAGATCTTTGGGATTTCTGTGGACAAAGAAACATATGCAACATATGCACCGTTTTGTTTGCATCGCATTCGTAAATACTGAAGCAACATTTGAATTTACTCTCAGAAACGTCAAGTGGTGGTTCTGGAATTGATAGTTCCCTGACCCTAACGGAAAATATACAGAATTAGTCTGGGCATGTCAGATTAATATTCAGCCAGAAGGGGAAGTCAGACTTTGCTCACCTGCTCTATACATGTTCGGAACTTACTCATAATGACTGAATGCATTTTAACAACCCAGCCGCTCACCACATTTTTTGGGGTTCCAAGATGTAAGTAATTTTTTTATTGCTAGTGGGGTGGGACTTAGTCCCTTGTACTGCGGCCACTTCTAGCCTATTGTATCAGCCCCAGATGATAGGTGAGGGTGATTGTGGAGCAGATGGTGCCATGAAGATTTGCAGGGGAAACCGAAGTACTCGGAGAAAACCTGCCCCAGCGCCACTTTGTCCATCACAAATCCCACTTGACCAGTCCCGGGATCGAACCCGGGCCGCCTCAGTGGGAAAAGCCAGCGACTAGCCGCTTGAGCTATGGCGCGGCCTGAGATGTAAGTAACTAAGCCATCAGTTGAACTTACTGAAACTTTGATGCCTATCTACCAAACTACACGGTGTCACACCCCAGAGAACAGGAATCTTCATAGTCACCGCTGTAGGAACCTCAAATCTCACTTAGTTTTAATGATTTTAAATGAAATGTTAAACGCTCCTGAACCACCACGTGACATTAATATTGTGAAATACAATTTCATCAGCTTAACAAATTAACTAATTTCATGGCGCTGAGTCATTTTTCTGATGCCGTCAGTTGGTCAGCTAATCAAAAATTTCCCAGAATTTTACGGAATTCTGAACTTCGTTACCGTTTTCATGGGAACCCTGAAACAACTTAAACGCTATGCATTCTTTAAAACTAGCTTATAAGTAGCAGCTACTGTACGTGAGCCGGCCAAATAATTCTCACTGGCGGTGGGGATATGAAGTGCTAGCGCACTCACCCCTGCCACCATACCTTGCCTGCTGCACCTCCTCGCCTAACAATATTAAGCCAGCAATTCAGTCTTACGAGGGGAAAAGTGGTGGGGGTAGTAAGGGATGCGTAGAAAAGAACTTGGGGGGGATGATCCATGGAAATTCTTTGCCCGTTTCCAATATAGCTCGAGTTCATTTCACACACAAGTGTAACTTGTCGTTAATCACATAACAATGATTATCGCCACTATTCCTTATTGACAACTGGTACACCAACAGAAAGTAAAAAGAAACGACATGAAACTTCAGAACCTAACCATCCAGAGGCATATTGAAAATCAATATATCTACATTACAGAAAAACAGAGTTTCCAATGATATGTAATTTAACAGAGACCTGAGATAGCTCAATCTGTATAGCCAGGGCTCGATTCCCAGCTGGGGCAAGGTCTTTCGCTTCTCCATACCGTCCAGACCGGCTCTTGGGACCATCCGTTCTCCGCTCCTACGTGTAACGGAAGGAGGCTATTTCATCGTGGGTAAATCGGCAGAGGAAGGGGAAGGCGACCACTACCACCTAATGTCGAGGTCAAGAATGGTGGAAATATACCTTCACTCCCCCATACGTCTCCATGGCATAGTGCTTAATTAAGCACGGGAACAATTTTACCTTTTCTTTTTCCTTAGCACTACAGCCCCAGTGGGCCTAGGCCTACCTCCATGAACTTCTCCGTTCACTTCGGTTTTTCTAGATCTTACACATTCGGTAGGACTCCTTGTGCGGGTGATCAGCTCGTCGCAAGGCCTCTACCTGTATACAAACACAGAAAAACGCACACACACAAACAAAACATCCATGCCCTGAGTGGGATTCGAACCCACGATCCCGATTTCCGAGCGAGCGAAGGCAGTGCATGCCTTAGACCGCTCGGCTACCGTGGCCGGCACATTTACCTTTACCTTACGTAATTTAACGAACAGCTTTAAAGCGTAATGGTGACACTCTACGGGCAACACTTTGACATTTCTGTTCTGCTTCTCTGAATGCACCTTTCCGGCCTTCAGGCGTCTTGTCACAGTAGAGTAGAACTGCGCTATTGCGTGGGTGTCAGGGGACTGAAGAGCCGCCATATCGGCAGCCCACGCTGTTTCCGGTAGTACCGCGAGAAATAATTTCTTTAACGTGAAGTTTTCGTTTATAACAAAGTTAATATAAAATTACAGTAAAATAGTATCGAAGTTAGGTTTATTTAAACTTAGGCTTTATTTAAACGATGTTTTTAAAATAATCCCATATTTTCTTTTGGCGCAACAGCTGATGGCGTTTCTTGGCCGAATACTTCTTAAAAGTAAGTAAGTAAAAGTAAAGGTATACCTGTAACAGGCCGTGGAGGCCCACACGTTGTGAGATGTTGAGGTTCCCACATTATCTAGACAATCGGCTCATAGATGGCGGCAAAGGTTGTCAGCTCTACGCGCCGGCGTCCCTTTACCGCCAAGAATATTCCTGGTACTCATTTCTGTTAGAGGTTGAGTCGACCCCAGGGCCATAGTGAGGCTGGAAGGATTAGGTCAATTGAAAAAAATCCAATGACCTCATCGGGACTTGAACCCGCGACCGGCTTGTAGCATAGTGCCTCAATGTTTTGTAAATGTAGAAGAAGGAGACCATCACAGTTACCGTGTCTTTATAGATCATTGAAAGTCGCAGTGCGGGGGCCGGTTTTCATGGCCCACCCCTTAAGGGGCTCATACACGTACGAGTCTGGCTCGTGAGTCGGGTTCCAATGAGCCAAACTCGTTCGTGTGTGGGTCGCAAAGTTGGGAGTCAGCTCACGCATTTGTGGTGAAATTAATCCGAGCCCGGCTCCCGAGTCAAGCTCGCCGAGCCGGAATCGCGAGCCAGACTCGTACGTGTATGGACCCCTTTACATACATTACATTACCCTGTCTTTCCATCAAATTAATCACTTCAGTGATACTATCCAATACTTTTTTAAATTTAGGGATCTCAGTCTCATACAGTCCTTCAATCTTTCTGTCATCATCCACACAAATTCCAGCACTGCGGGCCTTTCCCGCAGCTCAAGCAGAGAAGCATCGGTATCTCCTTAGCAAACCACCGATCAGGTGCAAGGTCATATTAATCACTCAGAGCGACCGAATAGACGTAGTCGTTTGAAAGGAGTTGTTTACGAAGAAAAGAAATCACAGTATAATTAGAAACAAAGTTGTTTGCAAGGAATATAAGTGGAACCGTTTTGAGAGACACGACTAAACCCGCGGTATAGCGAGGCGCATTATAATGTAGTTTTACTGTAGTTTCTGCAATGCAATGCAGGTTTCCTGCACAGACACGCTAGTAGGAAGTGATTTAGCAACTTGAAAGTTCTGTTTCCATGCACACAGGCGATATTTCAGCGTTCATAACAGCCGCTAACACGACTCCCTTGTCGCTTCAGTACAGCAGCTCTCTTTCTGACGCTTTTAAACTGAGCAGCAAAACGCGTAGTCATGACAAGCACAAAAATGAATAAAGGAAGATTGTAATTTGTGGTGAGTGTCGGAACACTAATGGATTGTTGGAACTTCGTCTGAGTTACGATCTCACGGCCTCTACTCCAGGATGAAAGTAACGGCGATGATACAAGTCTTTCTGGATAGTCAAAAGTCATTTCACAGACAGGTACACAAGGCGCTTCCCACTTGAAGGAATGCACGTCAGTATTGAAGTCCATATTTACTGTAATTATGAAAGTGGAATAACAGCCTTAATTGAAAATTAGCTACTTCTTTTATTTCCTTACCATCAGCTTTTAAATACAACTGAGATCTTTCTTTGACCGCGTCTGTGGTCTAGTGGTCAGATTTCCTGGCTACAGATACAGGGCGTTACCAGATTTTCTGAACGGGTTTCAGTCAGCCTCGTGAGGATAACTGAGGAGTGATTTCAGGGAAATAGCAGCTCCGGTATAGAAAACCGAGATTAACGGCTGTGGGGATCCGTTGCGCTGACCAAGTGACACTTTCTATCCGCAAAAGTTGGCACTAACTTCGCCGACAAGCGGCGGTCTCCCGGTCGGTATAGTTCGCTTGCGGACTACAGACCATGGAGTTTGTTTGAGATATTCATTGACACTCTTTTATAAATAATGCTGCACGCCTCTTCAGTGTACTTCCTGAGTTGATTCGCGTTACTGATCTTCGTGTGTATCCTATGTACATTTCCACCCCACGGGAAAGACTATATTTATGTCAGATCCGGTGATCCTGTTGGCCACTCACTGGAACCTCTGTTTCTACTCACTTTTCCGGTAAGCTCTGTTCAAAGACGAACGGGGGGTTTGTTCACTCGAAAATGCGAAGGATTGCATCCTGCGTGAATTTTTAGGTAGCTCATATCATTTACATGTATGATTTTCGGTTACCAGTCCTTCAGAACTGTAGAAGGAAGCGTCAGCGCACACAGAAACTCGGTCGAAATTGTAACGTAGGAATCTGCTACGTTTCAGTAAAACCAGTTCTGTCTCTTAATGTGATCAGACTCTTTGAAATTCGTCTAATCAGGTCATATTTTTTTTTTTCATTAGATCATCTGGAAAATAGCATCACTCGTTTAGAAAAATGTCATAGAAGTGCAAACTTCTGAGTGTACTATCTTAGAGAAACCATTTCAGTCCAGATCAATACAGCGGATGTTTGATTGAAGCGCAGTGCTACTTCCTTTTGAGTCGATTTCCATAGACATCGAACAATAGCCCGAGAAGCTGGCAACTTGTTCTCTTCTGTTGTCACACTAACAGATATTCCAATCCTGTGCGCATATGTAACTGAAAATACTTGGGTCGAAAATTGAAGAAGCTGCCCATGTGAGTGCTTAAATTTCAGATGGTCCAAGACAACATCGTTCCTGAAGTCTTGGAGGTCTTCAANTTGGAGGTCTTCAAAGTGGTAATTACTTAGACTCTAGCATTCCGGTTTGTGACATCGTGTGTAATCTTGCAGAGGAACACCGAGTTTGGGGAAAAACATATTGCCTCCATTTTCAGGGTTGCGTATTATCATCCTGCAACCCAGATCATGGAGGCAGCATTTTCTTACGAAACGTTGGTATCCGTCTGCAAGGCGCCACAGTCCGGAATGCTATAACGAAACGACTTCGATGCAATTATTTCTGTACTACGTTTTTACAACAGACATTATTTCTGGTGTATTAAGGTTCCTGCCCGTTTGGCAATAATGAAATCAGATTACGCTGGACAAATACGGCGATGGCAGTGACACGACACAGGACAGTGAAGAGGAGGCACATTAGGGAGAACGGCTACCAAGTGTGCGGACACTTACGCATCTCCCAGTCTAATACATTTTTGAAATGCTGTGGCGAGAATAATGATTTTCATTATAATTTCTTTCCTCACTCCATAACGCCTTCATAATTTCGAGGATTGATCTGGTACTGAATAGAAGACAGCAAGGTGGAGGTCCTTTCCATAGCGTTGCGGAATTTTAGCTAAAACTTAAAATTGTCCATGTGTTTAATTAACTATCACGCCATGAAGATGTTTGGGGGAGTAGAGGTAGGGCTCCATCATTTTTACCTCGGCACCAGATGGAGATAAGTGGTCAGCTTCAAGCCCCGGACGCTTTACCTCAGGGTAAAGATCCCCAGGTATCCGTTTGATGGGAGACTTGTTGGTTCTCAGACGGTCTGGAAGCTAGGGAGAAGAGAAACGGCTCTTACCCCTGCTGGAAATCGAACCACGGCCATCCAGCCCGTAACCCATCTCTTCGCCGACGGAGCTATCCCGGCTCCCGGAGCTTTATATAGCGTTGTACATTGCAGAAAAAAATTAATGTTACAATTTCAGATTCTTTTGTCGTAAATTCTGAACTCGACTGTACATACATGATAAGATTATGAATTGGCTGGACAGATAAATGCAACAGGAAGACTTAATTCATGCACAACCTGTGTCTTTTTACGCAATTCTGTTTTTGTAATCGAAGCTATTTTTTTTATATTTTCCTTTAAAACGAACTGAATTATGGAAGTCTGACCATGCCTACTTACACTGCCGTGAAATCACTTCTATTTTGATCTCAACACGACCACATTCTTGTTTTGGGGGCGGGGGAAAGATGGTACGCCTGCAGCCACATTTCACACATGAACAGAATATACGGCTTCAAGCCCCCAGGGCAATGTATTCATCTCAAGCATTCGCTATACAAAGTAGGTCTACCACTTCTGACCTAACTCAGTTAACGTTCCTTGTCTCATAGACAACGGTATCGCTACTTAAATTAGCAACTAGCAGCAGTTGCTGGCAAGGCTTGCTGCGGCATTGCAAATGGTCAGGTGTTGTTGGATAGATGGAAAGTAATAAAACACTAGCGTGCTCTAACAGATATGGTTAGATTGCGCGCCATATTTTTGATATGCCTATATTTCTGTACATTATTCAGTGCTGTCATCATTCAACTCATATGGTCAAAGCATCTAATCAGTTTAAGTCAATTAAACTACTAGTTTAATTATCTCTGTACAAAATACTATACACAATTGTATTAAATATATAGTTAAGAAGAACTAAGTAGACTGGTTCCAGATGCTGTAATTCATAACTTCTTCATAAATTCAATTTAGATTTTATAATTCATTCTGGAATGTCGATTCCTTAAAAAAAATGTACTTGAATTACAACTTGTTGGTCGTTAACCAGTGCTTGGCAGGCAAGATGTTGCCTACTGGCGAGTCTAGAAGCCGCCATCTTGTCGTGCTGTATACATCCGGTGTTCAGTCCGCGACAGCTCAACGGCTGAACCCCAGCAATTGGTTTGTTCATTAAGAGTTGAAATCTCAACAACCTCAGACTTCTAAGTTATAAAAAA